GCGTCTTTTTCTGCAGCTCAGAGCGTCTTTTCAAGTTGAAAAAAATTCAACTTTTCTGAAGAAAAAAAACGCCCTACGTCAAGCGCCTTTTTGACAGCTGACCAATGACAAGCGAGTAGCGAGACCTGTCGTTTCCATAACAACAAGAACAAGAAAAAATGGAGAAGGTGCCGGTAGATAAACTGATCGTACTAGTTTCGGAGTTATATGATATGAGCACAAAATATTTCGTATAATAATAATGTTTTAATATTTAGTCTAAAATATGCCGCAAACCGTGCATCATCCAACTGGACTAAATTGTTGTAAGCACCATACTGGTTTCTTCCCCGTATAATGTCGTGCACCCCCAAACGTTGTTGTAAACCGACATTCTCTTTCCCGTTAACTAACGCAAGAGCCGCAAGAGCCAATCTCCTCTTTCTCGACATTTTTGCACCACACAGCACTAGGCTACTGTTGCTATAGCAACTATAGCAACAAACGACTCCCTCGGCTGCTATTTGTAACAGAAACGCTGCCAGCTTTTTTTTTTTTTCACTAAAAACCCACTCGGGCTTCAGTCTTTCCCCTGTTTGATGCCGAACATAATGTTTCCCATCAGACCCAGATAAAGGAAACTTGCTCTCATCACTTAAGTGAATTTTGGATCAGTTCTCCTCTCTCCACACAACATGCTCCTCAGCAAAGGTTAGTCTAGCCTTTTGATTCTTTCTGCTTATGACAGGCTTTGTCACTGCAGAGTGTGCTTTCAGTCCGATTTCTCTTAAACGTGCCGAGACAGATCCTTAACCTGTTCATTGCTGAACTGGCGAGCAATTCCAGCTGCAGTGTTGAACCGATTCCCCATTGAGAGTCTCCGCATTATCCTGTCTTCTCGTGCATTTGTCTTATGTGGACGACCAGCCTTTTTGGGTGACTTGAATGAATTAGTGTCACTGTAAAGCTGCAATATTCAAGAAATCACAAATTTAGAATGACCAATTTCTCGTGCAGTGGCTGAAAGGGTCATCCCTTTCACCTTCATCTGGACAACCTGCTGTTGCAGGGTTTCAGTCCCCTTAGAGCGGCCCGCCATCTTGCAATCTCAGTGAAAATTAGAGGAATGCTGCCAGTTAAATAGGGGTTGTCATATAATTAAGGAAATTAGCACCAGGTACCAGATTAATACCAATAACTTGGAGGTATCTGTAAGGGTTCTCTAATTTTGATCAGAGTTGTTTTTCAAATATTTCATTTAAGTTTTTATACTGTGCTTCAGAATACAATTAATTTATGAAATATGCTTAAAAAACTGCCTTTCTACTCCTGTTAGGATAAGTTCAAATAGGACTAAGCAGAGACCTTGAAATTTAGGAAATTGTAGGTTGTTCTCTAATTTTGATCTCCACTTGTATATGCATGTAAATATTTCTTAAATATATTATTGTATAAATAAAATGTTTTGCAGCCAAGTTATACAGAACATAATAGAATTCAGTCATTTTTCTCATTAATCATGACGAAAAAATATAAAGAGGAAAAAGTACTGGACATTTTTCACAACAGTTTTTAAGTAAAAACATTTGAACAATTAACTGCTAATAATGTAGGCTCATGCTTTTTCTCACTAATGAATTACAATTCATTAAATGATGAATTAATATTAATAGCACACCAGAATTATTATAGACTGTGTTTCTATTCATTTGCTCAAGATATGATCTTTTTTTATTTACTATTTTAGGTTCTTGGGTTTTATTGTATCATTGAGAATTGCTTGTTTGTGATTGGTTGCCAGTGTCTATTTCTGCATCTCCCAACCCATCCGGAAGATGGGAAAACCTGGCAGGATGCTCAATCCATCTGCTCATCATATCAGGGATCTCTGGTGTCCATAGAGGACAAAATTGAACAAGGTAAATATCACATCTTCATTATATTAGAGTTTCTGATGTTGTTTTGTATTGACATTTTTGTGGTTTTTACCTTTTGTTTGAAGCTTACATCGTCATGCTGCTTAATGGCTGGTCAGCGGGGGTTTGGATTGGTGCACGGGGTCGTTTTTCCTCTAAATGGAGCAATGGGAAGCCACTCAGCTATAATAACTGGGAGGTATAAAGACTCAGGATTTAATATATTTGAAATGTAATTTGATTTCAACACTATTTTTAAATGTTTTTCTGTGTGTATATCTGCAGATGTCTAATTATAGATCTCCTGAAGAACCTCATTGTACTTACCTGTCCAACAGTCACAACTTCCGGGTGACAGGGCTATGGCAGGATGACGTCTGTACTGAGAGCGTCTATGGCTTTGTCTGCCAGAAGCCGCAAGGTAAGCTGACTTTAACAATATTAGAAATGTTTTTAATTCATTGGCATTGACCGATATTTAATTGCGGATATACATTTCCTCTTATTTTTACATTTATATTGCCTTTGTCTTTATCTTTATCTATCACTCACAGATTTACTGACAATTTACTCAGGGCATCCAAGATGTAGATGAGGTTGTTTCTTCATCTGAACATTTGGAGAAATTAAGCATTACATGAGTTGCTCACCAATGGATCCTCTGCAGTGAATGGGTGCCGTCAGAATGCTGACAAAAACATCACAATGATCCACAAGTAATCCACAGAACTCTAGTCCATAAATGAACATACAAAGCATACAATGCATCTTTTCACTTCACAAGATGCTAATTGATGGACTAGAGTCGTGTGGATTATTTATGGATTATTGTGATGTTTTTATCAGCTGTTTGGACTCTCATTCTGACGGCACCCATTCACTGCAGAGGATCCACTGGTGAGCAACTGATGTAATGCTACATTTCTCCAAGTCTGTTCTGATGAAGAAACAAACTCATCTACATCTTTGAAGGCCTGAGGGTGGGTACATTTTCAATTTTCATTTTTGGGGGAACGATTCCTTTAAGGCAAAACCATTTTTTTCCCCCACTGGTCAATTTTTAGATTTTAGGCTATTTTGTTTCCATAACATATATTGTTAGTGATAACAAGAGATATCCAAAATCCCCGCTGTAAAATCCTTTAATATGTCAATATATGACATCAGTATATGTAATCAATCAACTGGGGAAAGTATGGTGATATCTGTTAAATTTATACTCTATTTACAAGTAGTGTCTTGCCTTAAAAAACAAATCATTTAGTCTTCAGCAAATCTCAAAATAAATATCAATTTTTCATACTGTAAATTATAATGTTGTGATGCTTAAATTCACTTGTAGCATTTGAAAATGATTGATTTTGAGTTTATTTACACAAAATAATATACAATTTTATTGGTTATAGTCCATAGCAATAATTATCAGCTTTTTATCAATGTTTAATATCCGTGCATGGCTACTTTATCTCAGACATCACCAAGCGTCCTACACAATCCTATTATACCGCTTCCTCTCTGGACTCATCTGAGTATAAGAACCACAGTTACCGTATCATTCATGGCAATTTGAGCTGGTACCAGGCCCAGAAAACATGTTTGGAGAAGGGGGCGGCACTTGTGAGCATCACAGACCCGTTTCAGCAGGCCTATCTCACTGTGCTGGTCAACAGGCTTGAAGCCCCACACTGGATCGGCTTGTACAGCACAGATGTAAGGAGGCTTTAAAATCACACTGATGTATTTTGATGGGTTATATTTGTGTATTAAACAAGAGCGCCCTCTACCTTCATAGGATGGTATCTCTCACCAGTGGTCTGATGGCAGTGAGATTTCCTTCACTTACTGGGAAGTGTCTAATTATTACCCAGAGGGGCCCATGGGAGATGGAGGCTGCGTTTCCATGGATGTTAACGGACGGTGGAAAGACGTTGAATGTGACATGTTGTTATCAGGAGCGATATGCTACATACCTCCTCCGAGTGAGTCCATTGCTCTCTGTCTTTGGATTCATTTTATCAATTGCACATTGTTGAAAACTGACTAATATCGTTGTTTGTCCTCCCACAGAAAGCATTGCTTTCTCCTATGAAGTGGTATGTCCTGAGACCTGGGTGAAGTTTCGTGGGAGCTGCTATTATTTTGAAACAGTTATATTAAAGATGACCCTGGAGGAAGCGAGAAATCGCTGTAAAAAGAAGGGTACAGCACTTTAAATTTGTTTGGATCGAGAGCTCCACCTAGTGGTGGCTTTGATCATCTTTGGTTATATTTTTATAATTTAGCAAGATTATTGCCTTTCTCAGGAAATTTTTCAGATGTTCTTACAGTTCAAGATGATGAGGAGAGCCGGTTCTTCCTTAAAGAGATGTCACCTCATTACCGGGGCCCTCAGAATTTGTGGCTAGGAATTTTATACGACACTGACAGTAAGAGCTGTGATGTTAAATATTGATCATTTAATTGATATTAATTTATATTATAAATGTATTGGTATTATAAATTATATATTAATACATATATTTATGTTATTTATCTTAAAAAATATATTCGTAATTTTTATTATATTAACTTAATCTTGTATGTGAAAAATGAAAATGAGATATAAAAATATGTATGTATAAATTGTTTATATATTTTATTTATTTTATTTTATTTTATATTTAATATTTATACATATATACATTCTTTATTTTGAAGTTGTATTAAAATATTTAAATTTAAATGAATTTTGAATATTTATATTATTTATAATATTTTTATTTTATTTATATTATACTTATTTAAAGTTTTATGTGAAAAATGAAAATGTCCTTATGCGTCTATACATACAGTGGGTATAGAAAATAATCCTCCCCCCTTTAAAATAATAATCGCATTTTGTTGCTTTGCAGCCTGAAATGAAGATGGACACAGTTTTTGTTTTATCTAGCTGTATTTACTCAGTGCAACTTATAACATCCAATTAAAAGATAAAACACAAACATGTCAGAAAAAAAAGAGAAAAAAAAACAGAATCACTGAGTTGGAAAAAAGGATCACCCCCTCCTAAAAATGACTTGTAAACTCAATCAGGTGTAGCTAATCACCTTCTCAATGGCACACAAAGCCATTTGACTTTCAACTGAGCTTTCCTGGAGCATTTCAGTCCCTGAAAGTGCAACTGAAGAAAACAATCCACTATGGGTGGCAAGACACTGTCAAAAGATCTCCGGGATAAAGTTGTGGACAGGAACAAGTCAGGAGATGGATACAAAAAACTTCAAAGGCTTCATCAATGTCTAGAAGCACAGTGAAGTCTATTATTAAGAAGTGGAAGGTATTTGGTACGACACTGGATCAAGACGTCGCTCTAAACTGGATGAAAGAGCCAGGAGGAAACTGGTCAGAGATCCGACCAAAAGGCCTACATCGACTCCGAAGCAGTTGCAGGAATTTATGACAAAGAGTGGTCATTGTGTGCATGTGACAACAATATCACAAATTCTCCACAAATGTGGCTTGTATGGGAGTGTTGCTCACTCCTCAAGAAAGGCCACATGCAGTCACGACTTGCATTGACAAAACTCACCTCGAAGATTATGAGGCAGATTAGACTAAAATTGAATTATTTGGCCTCAACACCAAACGATATGTCTCTCTGAAATCTAATCCCGTTCACCATCCAAACACC